AAGCGAAATAAGCATCCTACTCAAATTTTACACATACACACAATTTTTCACAATTTTCAATACCTTTATCTGTCATAAGTTGTAAAACAAGTCAGCGATTCTTTACAACTTGATATATCCAAATATTCCTCTCAACCAGAAACCTGAGATGAAAATGGCATAAAATTAGATATAAATGTTCGGTTTTCATGTAATTTTGCCCATACCATTATTTTTATCTGTTTTAGATGAAGTATGATTTCTCAGTTCTATTTAACAATCACAAACTGAATGTTTCACTATGCACATGGACTTTGCATACGCTTTGTTGCTAATTTTTATAGACTGACATCATTACGACAATGTACAAAGACCTAAAATGGTAAAGACTAGACAAAATGCATTCTGAGCTAATGGTTTGTGTCTATACTATCTATATAACAGTTCATGACAGGAAAATGTTAATATCAAAAACACATTTATAGAAAAATATGACAAACAAAAGTTTGAAAAATCCAAAAAATTGGGTTTCAAAATTCTATTATATAGACTTTCCAAATTAATTGCATATTGCCTAAGCGGCTTAAATCGCATAACATTGCTAACTATGTTGTTACGATATCGTAACAACAGAGGTATTTTCATAGGGTTGCCATATTTTTACTCTGTCTTGTCCTATCTTTACACTTCTATGTCTTTGCAATGTAATTTTATTTTGCTGCAATGCATGTATGAGTGTCTTATAAGACTTCGTTTCTGTATGGTTGCATTTTTAAACAAATGTGTTAAAGAAGTTTAGTTACTATAGATAAGATTATGATATATGAACGCTACCTTTAACGCAATAGCTTTGATAAGGTTGATATGCAGTTGCAAAAAAATAAAAACAAATGCCTAAAAATGATAGCAAAATGTTTGGAAATTTTTGATTTTATATATTTACGAGTATGTTGTTCTGTAAAAAATTTTTGAGCATTTTTAAAAGAAAGCGAATTTTATGAATTGCTAAATTAATTAGAAGTAATAATCGTACTTATCGTTGTGAAAAGACATATGAATTTCATTAAGGAAACTATGAAAAAATTAAGGTATAAAATTCTTTTAATGGAGTACCCCCATTTCGTTATTTGGAAAGTTTTAGAAACAATTTACAACCAAATCAGCACGGTTTTATATTGTAATTAAATATAACAAGTTAAAAATGTACGATTATTTAATAATATTTTGGCTTCTGTTATGATTATTCAAATGTTTAACCCCTTATGGAGTAGATTTCCGAAGGAATGGACCAATATTGCCCATTTCGTATCAGACCTAAATAAATATGATATAAATATTGCGACGTGCCAGGTTTGGACTATATTGGTAACTTCCTTCACTTTACATGATATATATGATAATTTTTAAAAAATGTTAACACGTGCGTGATTTACCAGATATAGTCGACCGAAGTATTCAATTTTCATGCTTCATCTAACACATATAAAAATATTGGTATGGGCAATATTACAAGAAAATCGAACATTTATATTCAATTTATGGAAAATCATAAATTCCATATTAATCTCAGCTTTCTGGTTCAGGGAAATATTTAGATATAGAAAGTTGTAAAGAATCGCTGACTTGTTTCGCAAGTTATAACAGATAAAAGTATTGAAAATTGTGACCCTTTGTGAGTGAGGTACCAAAAGGGGTTCATAGACATATATCATCTGCACAACAGATATTATATTAGCAAAAATGTTTGTATGTGTGTAATTTGAAGAGTTTTGATTGCTTATTTCACTTTCTTTGAGTGTTTTGTTTTTCAAAATCTTGAACCCAATTTGGGGGAGGTACCAGAAGAAATGGTCCGATCTCTACCATCTTTATAACAGATCTTGTGTTGATTTAAATATTGAGATATACCAAGTCTCGAATGGAATCGGATGTTAATTTCGCATTTTATGAGCTTCATGGATATTCAAAATGTTGAACCTTTGTGGGAGAGGTACCAGAAGGAGTGGCCCGATATATCCCATCTTCACAAGAGATCTTTTGTTAGTGGAAATAATGAGATGTGTGAAATATAAAGAGAACCTGATGCTTATTTGGGATTTTACAAACGTTTTGGTTATTCAAAACTTTAACATTTTGTGGGGGAGGTACCAGAAGGAATGGTCCGATCTCTACCGTTTTTATAACGGATCCTGTATTGATAGAAATATTCAGATGTGTCAAGTCTAAATGAAATCGAATGTTAAATCCGCTTTTTATGAGCTTAATGAGAATTCAAAATTTCTACCTTTTTTTGGGAGAGGTACCAGAAAGAGTGGACCGATATATTCCATCTTATTACCAGATCTTGGACTTATAAAAATATTGGGATGTGTAAACTTTTAAGACAATCGTATTCTTACATCACATTTTATAAGAGTTGTAATTATTTAAAATTTTGACGCTTTGTAGGGGAGGTACTTGATGGAGTGAACCCATGTTGCCCATTTTCGCACCCGATCTAGCACTGATACAAATATTAGGATTTGCAAAGTAGGGGCAAATCAGACAGACAGACGGACGGACGGACATCGCTAGATCGACTCAAATGTCCTGAAACTGATTTTGTCCAAAGAGACATAGGGTATAAAACCGTTATTTCGATGAGGCACTTTTGCCCGTATCAAATGGTATATACCCAGCAGCTAAGTTCGGCCGGGCCGAACTTGTAATACCCTCCACCATTTCGAAGGAACTTGAAAATTTTCAAGAAATTCCGAAAACTACCACTTAAATGAAAACCGCATTATGTTTTAGGGTTGCCATGCTAAGTATAAAATAGGTAAATATGTGGGAGTTATACGAAGACGTGAACCTGCATACAAAATTTTTTGTCATGGCTGTAGTATACATTATGAACTTCAAATACAAAACTCGAAATAATTCCAGGAAATAATGTCGCTAAAATCATGAAAATACCGAATATCGGGAGGTACCGTTATATGGGGCTATACGAAGACGTTGGGTTGTAGTACCCATTACGATCTTCCATTACGAAATTTGAAATGATTCCAGTGAATAAAGTTGCTGAAATCGTCAAAATACCGAAAACCGGGAGTTACCGTTATATGTGGGCTATATGAGGACTTGAACCTGCATACAACAGTTTTTGTCATTGGCTGTAGTACCCATTAGGATCTTCCATTACGAAATTTGAAACATTTCCGGTGAATAATGTCGCTAAAATCATGAAAATACCGAATATTGGGAGGTACCGTTGTATGGGGGCTATATTAAAACGTGGACCTACATGGCCAATTTACGAACTTAGAATGCCTACTATCAAAATAAACATGTGTGCAATATTTAAGCCTTCTATCTCAATTCGTTCGAAAGATAGCGTGATTACAACAGACAGACAGACAGACGGACAGACAGACAGACAGACGGCCATGGCTGAATCGTCTTAGAATTTTACGCTGAGCAAGAATATATATACTTTGTTGGGTCTGGCATGAGTATTTAGAGGAGTTACAAACGGAATGACAAAATTAATATACCCTCCATAGTATGGTGGAGGGTATATTAAAATAAATTGGTTTTGTTTTTATATAGTCTTGACTGAAATAATGGCGTTGTAATCCAGTTGTAGTTTTATTTTTCGTTGCCTGATATAGCAGCATCTCTCCTTATAAAATATCAATATAATTCTACAATCCACAAAATGTGTATGTTGACTTTAAGTATTTTAAAGATTGCAACCATAAGTTCCATCCGAATAAGTCGTAAATTGTCATTTTGGAATAACTACGGACAATTTTTGATATCAGTCCACGTTTCGACGCAATTTCCAAATATTGGCAAGATTTTTGTTTTCTTGAAGGTCTGGCCAATATCTATCATCCAAAGTGAATGAAATTTAATATATTGAAACCTTAATGAGTGGAACTCCGTTCCGCACAAAATGTAGATCAAAATGTTGGTGGTAACTTTTATACAAAAGGGAGCTTCTATTTGGTTAATTACAGGTTTGAGCACTCCGAATTTCAGGGTTTTTAAGGATAGCCGTTTTGGTCATAATTTAAGTTTTAAAATTAAATTAACAATAATCAGTTCAGATTTGAATGGAGCGGCCATACACAATTTTGCTCTGATTTCATGTTAATTGTGCACCAAATATTTTTCATCAGATCTATGTATATTTTCGGCCGATTTAATGTATTTGATCCACCAAAAACAATATGTATCTCCAATTTTAATTATATTTGGAATTTGGGACGGAATTTTGTTTAAATATAAAATGTAAAATTATATTGAAATCCGTGTTTCGTGAGAATCTGTTAATGTCCCAGAAAATTTAACATTTCCTACAAATACGACTAGTGTGCTTTACTTCGAGGTGTTTTTATATCGAACCACTGCTATATGAAAAATCAACTATCGGCAATAGAAGACTATTTACCCAATTCAGTTTGTGTAACTCCTCTTCTTTGTAGTCATCATTGCACAATGATCTGATGCTAAGTGTCACTGTATTAACAGTGGCCGAGTGTTTACTCTGTCAGATACAACTATTGGCAGTAGAATAATTACAACAATAAAATTTATCAATGTGCATACAAAAATAAACTACCATCTAGGTATCAATTTAATCAGGCAGGCTGGCAGGCAGACAAACCACATCTCCATATGAAAACGTTCGTAAACAAATTTTGAAAACACAAAAAAGTACCAACAACAAGCCATCCAAACAAATTGGCAAGAACGGAGCGATAACAACGAGATAACGATCATAATTTCGAATTTTTGTATGGCCGTTGTTGTCGTTGTCGTTGCCGTCGTCATCGACTTCGTTCTTCAATATCTTGAAAACAAACAACACCAAAGAAAATACATCACATCTCTCGTCTACAACAGCCAGCCAGCCAGCTCTCCAGCAGATACCATTAATGAATTTCGAATCGTTCGTTTGCAGAGACGTTCGTTGGCTGTTGAATATTCACACTCGGACTTTCTTGGTTACCTACATATGATCACTCTCCCACGGCCTACTAAATCAGTTGTGTTCTCACTCCAGACGCGAGTGGACGTATTTTGATATTTTTTTCCAAATCGATTCGAGGAATAAGTCAATCGAGTTTGTGCTTTTCTTGTTTTGATTAAGACAAAAATACGCGATCGTATACGGCAAACAATTGTTTCGATTAAAATTGTGAGTTGAAAAATTCGGTGATACCGATAAAAACAATAATAATGATAATAAATAAATACTCAATAAAATTTTAAAAGGAAATAAATAAGAAAAACAATAAAAAGTGCTGTCATTCAATCCTTAAAAGTGGGACAGATTAAGTGATTGCAATAAATAACAATAAGGGTATTCACCTGGTGGGGATTTTTTTTTTGTAAATGTTGGGGAAATTCAAGAAAAATGTATATACAATGTATGACAGGGAGCGGCTGGATTAGTAGATTGCTTTCACAATTAAATGCCGGTGACACAATTTGTTTCATACGTAAAGTTGAAGAAATCATTAAAAAAATTAACACAAAATCTCCGGTGTTCTTTGCCTTAGTGTGTGTTTATGTGGCAAATTTTGTTGCATAAAAATCCTTGTTGATCATAATCGGTCTATTTTTTTAACTATATGTAAGGGAGCTGCATACTTCTCTTGAGTAATTTCAATATTTTCATTTTAGACTATAATTGTTCTAATTTGAAAAGCAAATAGGGAAGAAATACAAGAAATATCAGTTTTATGTTTCGATTTTCAAAAGGAATATCTCGGATTCGAAATGGAAAAATTCGAATTAATTATGAAAAAAATTTAGTTTTATGCTGTTTATCGGGGATAATATTTTTTTATGTTCGTGGAATTATCCTTACCTTCATCTCGTGATCACAGTCACAACTTTCGTAACTTCAGATGGCATATGCACGTGTCTAGGCGTCATAAAATAAAACGTCAACAAAACGTAATAACTGAAATGATTAATTTTTGTAAAACCTATTAAACGGCTGTCACATGCTGAATGTTGTCCTGTGGTATTTTGGGCCATTCCCGGCGAACCGCTTACTTAAGGTGATCGACAATTTCATATTTTTAAGTGCCAACCTTGCTTTCCAAAGTACTCCAGACACAATAGTCCACCGGTATCCGGAGATTTTGGAAGTGATAAACTTCATTTTGTACCAATTCTTGGGTGGCGCGTGCTGAGTGCGATGGTGCTGAGTCCTATTGGAATGTCCAAGATCTGCGACCAAAATGTTTGCGTGCCCAAGGCAGAATATTTTCGCGATAATATTCGGCATTTATTCTGATGCCGTGGTCGGCTGTTATGGCGGCCCACACCATCACCATGGCCGGCGCTTGAGTTCTGGTGGCCAACCGAAGGTGCACATTTTCAGCTGTCCTCTTTGGCAAGTAAATACGATCATTTATTTTGTTTACAAACTGCTGGACAACGAATGTTTTCTCATCGGAGAAAACCAAATTCGGTAGTTCAACACTTTCGACCAAGCGAAGCAACTCATTAGCTTTTTTGCGTCTATTTTCTTTCTGTTGAAGTGTAAGCTGATTTTTCAATATTTGTCGCTTTTTTACTTTTCGAACCATTTCTGCTGAGGTTGCTGTTTTCTTCAGTCCACTTCCTTGACGTCGGGCTACGCTACCAGTATCACAGTAACGAGCGATGATACAAGACACAAAGTTTTATTCACATTTAAATGCTGGTGCTCTAATGACAGCCACTTATGCCCATGACAATAATATTACAATGTGCCAAGTTTGGGTCAAATCGGATACTCCCTTCGAGAGTTATCGTGCGCACCAGATGGACCGTAGATCGACTCCAAAGGTCCTGAAATGGACCTTCACCGTTATTTCGATGAGGCGCATTTCTGCCTCTGATACATTCCCTCTGTAGTCATAAATCTGAGAGTATAAACAAATAAAAAAGCAGTTAGTTCGGCCGGGCCAAACTTTGAAGACCCTCCACAACAATTCCGGTGAATAGTGTAGCACAAATATCTAAATACTGAATATAGGGAGATACCGTTATATGGGGGCTATAAAAAGAAATATAATTTTTGCCGATCAAGAATATATATACTCTGTGTGGTGTAGAATTAATAATTCTAGGGGTTACAAATGGAATGACAAACTTAATATACCCTCCATACTATGATGGAGGGTAAAAACAACGCTCGTATCGGCTCTAAGATCTGATTTAGACCAGGCGAGTTTTCTGCCCGTGATTTTTATCGGTCTCTTTTGAACTTTCAATTTATTTTCAGGAATTTTCCTTTTTAATGTGATGTTGCGCACGATAACTCTTGAAGGGAGTAGCCTATTTGATCCAAACTTGGGCAATATCGGTCCACTCTTTCTGGTTCCTCACCCACAAAATGTCAACATTTTCGTAGAAAATAAGATCCGAGAGAAAGAGAAAGGAAAATCCGATTTTGCTCTGACTTTGCAAATCTTACAATTTGCATCAGCGATAGGTCAAGAGCGAATATGGACAATATTGGTCCACTCCATCAAGTACCTGCCCCAAAAAGGGTCAACATTTTGAATGATTATAACTCTTATAAAATGTGATGTAAGAGTCCGCCTGTCTTTAAATTATTTATCAGTCCACGCCTTCTGGTACCTCCCCTACAAAGAATCAAGACTTTGAATATTCATTAAGCTCATAAAACGCGAAATTAACATCCGATTCCATTTAAACGTGGCACATCTCAATATTCCCACAACACAAGATCTGTTAAAAAAGTTTGTAGATATCGAACCATTCCTTCTGGTACTTCCCCACAAAGGGTCAACATTTTAAATTATCGAACGAACATAAAATTCAAAATCAGCATCCGGGTCTCCTCAAATTTCGCACATCCCATTGTTCCTACTAACACAAGTTCTGCTGTGCAGATGGGATATATCAGTTCACTACACCCGGTACTTCCTCCACAAAGAGTCAACATTTTGATAAAAAGGTCATAAAACGCAAAATTGACATCCGATCTGAATCAGACTTGATGCATCTTTATATTTCCATCAACATAAAGTCTGTTTTTAAAATAATGGTAGAGATAGGTTAAAAGATTTTGAACCCTCTAGCCATTTGGCTGGGATATACAAATATAGAACATCTAACAAAAATTAAGTCTCTTTCTGAGTTTTTCTTCAATACTGTCGAATGAAATCTCAACATTTCTAGTGATGTTGCAATCTTATCAACATTTCAACAACTATAACCTATCAGCTTGTTTTATTTTCGAAGTTTCAGTGAAGCTTTCTAAAAAAAAATAAAAAAAAATGGAATTTGAATCTATATTCTCTGAAGCTATAACTAACTATTAATTTCTATTGGAAATGGAAAATCTAAGTCTAAATTGCAGATATACCCGCGTTTTTCTTTGTTAAGGCCTTTCCCTCTGTTCATTCTGTAACAAACGTTGGACTGCTGCGATAATAGAAATGGAAATTGTGAATGTCAAATGTATTTCACTTCATACAATCTGATTTCATTTGAAAACAGGTTACATTTTATTTGAATTGACATTTTGTTGGTACTTATTTAATATATGTTGTCTAGAAGTACTGTTTTGCGAGGTTATATTTGTAACCCTTTAAGATGAGAAATGGTCATTTACAATATTTTATTTACCTCATTTTGTATTTATATACAAAAGAACAAAAAAAAATATATAAATAGTTGCAACAATTTGTATACTCTAGTAATTATGTTTATTTTGACGCTTAAATATTTAACGGTTCATATAAATATCAATTTGTTTACAAATTACATTTAAATTTTGCAAAAATATTTTTCTACAAATGCAAGAACACACTTTATCATATACGAGGTGTGGTGCATGAGTGTGTGTGATCTTTCTGATATTGTCTTTCAGAAACGGATTTTTATTTTAATTTCATTTATTCGAATGAACTCTATGCCAACCAACATATGGCTATTGTACGAAAAAATATGATAATTTTTAAGAAGTTTCACAAGTTGTTGGTGTATATTTTTCACTAAAATTTACAATTTGCAATTTTTGAATCAGTCTTATCCTATATAGAGGAGAAATATGGGCGGATTTTTGTATTAATATAATATGAAAAGTACTAATAGCTAAAAATAATGATGTATTGATATGAAAATAACCGAAACAGTAAGTACCCATGACGACGGTAATCATAGAACAACGGTATCATCCAAATACGGATATAGACATACTCTCCAAATTCGACTCCGGCATTGGTGGAAAAAATTGACGACTACTCCATAATAACATTACAACTTAATGAAGAGCGGTGTTGGAAATTTACTATGTGGTCATTACACACGGACGTTGTAAACGTCCGTTGAGACATTGAGATTTAAAATGGAATGTATCGGTTCAGTTATGTATAGCCCTAATATAAGGATACGGCCCAATTTTATGTATTTTGATAGTTTAGACCAAATTTCCAAAAAATCGGTATTTGGGGCTCTACCCGAGTGCACTGTGCACACTGTACAAATAATTTTGAAATCGGTCCACGTTTTGATAAAGTCGTTACATAACCATTTAAGGCAGTTTTGAATTTCCACTCTGTTTTCTAACATAAATGGCAATACTATGGTATTTGAGGTTCATTTTTTAACTAAAATAAATAATCGAAATCGGGTATCTATTAAGTATAAGCCCCGGTGTTTTTAAGAATTTTTAATTTTTTTTTATATCGTTTCATTTTACAATTTGCTATTTTGGCTTGTCAATGGTCCGTGTTACAGAATAAGGACTGACTGGATATTCTATAATTGTTCTAAATTATTGCTGGATATCGCCTCTTATTACAGAAGTCCTATAAAAGAGAGCAAGAAAACAGAGTTGCAATTTTTTTTTAATTTCTTAGCTCGTTCTCTTGTTACACCTTTTACCATATTATGGAGGATATATTAAGTTTCTCATTCTATAACACCCCGAAATAAACATTTCAGATTTAGTGATGACCGCCCGTCCGTCTGTTGAAATCACTTTAGCTTCCGAGCGATACAGATATATATTAGGTACATAGAACTTAGATTTACGTTTTTCTGTAAATTGGCAGTCTGTGTTCCCAGTATGTAGGAAACATTCTTTCATAGAACTGTCCATATAGGTCCAAGTTTTGGTAAGTCCCAATATAACGGTTTCTTTAGATATTCGTCGTATTGATGAAT